ATACTATGCACTTCAATCGATACTATTTACTTCAATCGATGTATTATGCGCTTCACTCTGTGTACTATGCACCGGTGTACTACTTGATCCTATGTACTTGATCCTATGTACTTAAATGAAGGGCTCTGCACGGAAGAACCCTTCGCGATGCTTTCGGGAAAAAAACCAGCTGGTTTAGAAAAACACTTCGGGTCGCGAGATAATCACAAAATGTTCCGTGCCTCTACGCGAAAGCCAGTCTGCACTAGACTATGCCATATCCTTGCAAGGATTGGCCGGCCATGGCCGGTTCATGGCGTGGCACTGAGGCTCCGGACCCAGCGCACCCGTGAGCTCAGCGGACCCAGGGACTGAGTCGCAAGGCTGTTGACCGACCAAGCTTGGAGCACAGATTTCTTCTAGTGAGACACTGCATGAGACTCCATCCCCAGCATTTGGCCTCACTCCCTGATCCAGCAAGGAACTGCCCAACAACCTTCTGCAAGTGCATCGGGCCCCACGCAGCGCTCCACTTCGCCAGGTCAAACCAAGCGCCATCCTCCGGATAAAGCGGCAGCCTGGAGACAAGCAACTGTCTGTGCAGACGAGCTTCCATGGAACGGAATGTAGACCCCATTTCTCCTCAGGTGGACCCGTGTTTGTACGGCCTCTCCTCGAAGACCTAGGGGCACATACACATATACATATATACATATGAATATGCATATGCATGTGCGTATACATGCGCATATACATATACGTGTACGTATACGTATACATATACATATACATATTCATATACATATATGTATAGACTCTATGGGAGCCAGCGATCCTCTTCAGTCTCAAAAAATGGCAACACACACACACACAAACACCTGCTTTGTAGCACAGTACACGGCGAGTTTGTCTCGGATTGGGATACAAAATCCGATTTTGGGCGGAAAGCGTGTCTGATGTTTGGCCATGCGCCTTTTGCGCCTTCTGCGCTCTCTGCCCCCTTGCGCCCCCGCAATGCAAAATCCCGGCTCAGGGGCTGCTTTAGTGAGTTCCGGGAGGTTCGCTCTTGTTGCTCTCTTGTGGCCCTGTTTCCTCTTGCTTCGGTACAGGCCTTGATCATGCACCACAAGCATCCTCGTACTGACACTGAGATTGAAGAGGCTCAGGCAGCCAACCCTGAGTTGAAGTGGGCTGCCTGTACTCGGCAGAAGTGGCGCCACCCGTGGAAGGCGAGGTCTGTTCAAGCAGCCGGACCGACTCCAGCAGCATCTGAGCAGCAGGATTTGGGCTGAGCCGCTTCAGCGTTGTATGTTCCATTATGCTTCGGCCTCACTGCTACATCGTCGGAGCAGCCAGCACCAAGAACCTAGCTCCCGCCTCTTTCAGGTACAAGCCGTGTAGTGCATTGGTTGTACCTGCTGGCTCTCAAAACAAACCAAACAACTTCAAGGTGTTTGCATCTTGCTTCGGATCAACTTTTGCATTGACTCAACCGTGCAGGAAACTGATAGTTTAAAAAACTTCCACGTAATGAGTCCTTACAACGTGATGATCTGAGGCTGCAAACAAATCGAGATGTTGGCGAGTGTGGCAAGCGACGAAGCTCACAAGTCCTCTGCCTTCTTGCAGGAGCACCGGCTTGAGAATGGTTGCAATTCTGTTGCTTTCAGTTCTTGCTGCATTCTCTGCCAAGTATTTGCTCGTTGGCGCACTCGAAAAGAGACCCTTCAAGCTCTTCATCGATGGGGCCTGCAGACGTTGCCAGAAGACCACTGACTTCACTTTCATTAAATAGTTTCCATCTACACCGAAAGGAACATTCCCACAGCTATGCAATTTCCAAAGTCTCCATGATCCCTGCTTATGCATGACCCACAGGCATCTGCCCGAAATGCAACACGAAGTCAACGTGGGGAATCACTCCTTGGGCATCCTGGATCAAGAAAGCCAAGGGCTACAAAGCGGATTGCAGTCCAGCACGTCCGGATCGCTGGTGAGATCTTCCGGTCCAGGCCTGCAGCTCCGATTCGCTAGTGCTCTCCAATTGAGTGTCTTGCAAAAAAGGAGTGTCACATCGGCATTGCAATGGCTTATAACTTACATCATGCCACACGATCAGTGACCCCAGCTTTCCGCGTCCACAGGTGCACAGAACAGCACACGGTGCCCGGCGGTCGACCCTGCCACTCGAGCAGGAGCTCGTTCAAGGTATCCTGTTGCGCCTCCTAGCGACACATTCCACCAACGCTGCAGAACGAGGCTTTTGCGCAATCCGCACTTCGCACGGTCGCGGCATGTCGCCGTAATGAAGGACAGTCCTCGCTGGAGTCGCTGCGCTTGCTTTGGAAGAAGGCCATCAGCCTCTCCGGACTTTTTCTTGCTTCAATCAACCGGGAAAGACCCCTAAACCAATACCAACTTGATCCAATTTCGTGTGTCCCAGCCGTCTCGCGACGCGAAAAAAGCCATTCACAGAAGTTTCCAATAAAGTGGCTTCATGAATATCGCAGACTTTTCTGAAACGAAGTTCCGTTCTCGGCCGACTTGAGGCATCGCTCTCTGGCATACAAGAATCGAGGTGTGCATGCTGCTGCACTGTGAAAGGCACTGTGAGCCAACAGTTAGCCGCAAGACTAACGAGAAACATCGAGAAACCAAGGATCCAAGGAATCGCCTTCAGCGAGGCCCAAGTGCAGAACCCAGATCCCAGAAGATGGCAGAATTAAAAGATACCTGCCTTCCAGGTGGCAGCAATCGGCCGACCCGGACACAACCTTAGCAGCTTCTTGACTCTGAGAAGCACGCAAAAAAACTGCAGGCGGCAATGCGAAATCCTAATAGGGCGAAGGAAATTCGGCCAAGGAGCCATCCACTCGAGCAGGTGCTGCCCCGAAAGCCTCCTCAGAGCAGCCACAACCTAATTCTGTTCCTCCCAACCTGATGGGACTCGGACTGAGTTGCCATCGCAAGGATCCTGTCAAGCCCTCGACAGTATGCAACAGCCGAAAAGGAGAATCTGACAAACCACCTGCAGAAGTAGCGCCAGAGCCAGAACAGTCTGCAAAAACCTGCATTCCTCTCGAGCTGCCGCCTTCCCCCTTTGCCCTCAACACCACCCGACACTGCTCCTCCTCCTCGAAATGCGCGTTCAACGCCCGGTGTGCCTGAATGTTGCGCGGCTCTGAACCGCGACCCGCAGGACCAAACTGTCTGTGACTCATCGCGCAATTCGGCTGAAATCTGCTCCCGGCCCGGCCTCGAAGAGTCCACGGAGCATGGCTAAACGCCGCCTCGAGACGCCCGACGACACTCTGCACTGTGCCTCCTCTGCCTCAACCCGAATACGATCCGTGACACGTTGTCCTCAGCCAATCCCATGAACATCTTCCGCTGACCTACACTTGAAGGTTGGCGACCATGCCCAACCTAAAGCTCTTAGGGAGGTTGACCTCTTCAGGGCTACAAACATACAAACAGAAAGACACACACATTTTGTTCACCGCGAACGCAAACACAAAGCGTGATGAAGATCAGTTCCTGTAGATTCTTCCCCGAGGAGAAAAAAGTCTGCCGAGCTTCGGGTTTTCAGAGCTAATTTGTCTGAGGAGGCGTATCAGCCATTCACTAACTCATCTACATGTAATGATAGTACTGAATGTACAGGTTGTGCACTTGCTTGTAGATTTACGTGTTCATATGAGCGCTCATATGGCATTTTCTTTCTGATTTGATCTGCAAACTGCGTTTGCTTCTTCATCCATGAACTTGTGACTGCAGGTATGGAAAAAGTCACAGCTCTGTACATGCCAAAAATGTGTAAGTATGTACCTACCTGCACTGCTTGAGTTGTACTTGCACCTATTAAACTTCTTGCTTAAGTTATGTATTTGCAAGCGAGCCACTGGCAGAATTTCCACAGCATCGAATTGCTGAGCAGCATGAGCAGGCGATCGTAGTCGCTGTGGAACTCCTGGCGATTTCTCCAACTGTAACATACCCCAAGCAGCAATGTGCCGAAAGTCTACAAACCACCGCCCACGGAGGGGGCTCCAACGCTTTCAACACCAGTGCTGTCGCGTCACATGCCATGCGATGACAGACACCGAAGCTGCGCTGCTGTGATCACCTTTGCCTTGGGTGACCTGGCCCGACGCTGCAACTCCGGGCAAGAGCCGAGGATTCATCAGCTACAACGCGCGAAATTAAGCGATGACACGCCCATTTCATGATCTGAATCCGTTCTTGCTGATGGCGGTCACATTTGTGCTGGTAAATATTGCGACACCCGGATGTTAGGTCTGAACCCTGGGATCTGGCCTCTGCAGCAAAGTCAGAATACTTGCGACGCAGGGAGCGGATCTGCGCAGCCACCAAAGTGAAAGCAAACATGGGAAGCAAAAGCGGGATTGACCGGTAGGCACAACAGCCGCAAAAAGAGAAACTGTTCCGGCGATCACGTTGGCAAACAGGGTTCTGATGCTGATGCTTGGTGAGCCGCACGTACCGACAGCAGCAGGGTGCGCTCAAGCCATCGAGCACCAGCTCTCTGTCGCAAGTATCTGATGCACCTCTAGCAGCATCTGACCCACGATGACCTCCTGGCACGGATGGCAAAACAGCTTTCCTCACACTGCCTTGTGTCGTGCTATGCTCGTGTTTGTACGCTTACCTACAGACATACATACAAACATACAAAAAAACAAACAAACATACATACATACATACATACATCTTTCTTTCCAGCGCTGCAAATAGAGTCTTCGCGCAGCGCGGCTATTGTGACGGGTCACCCCGGCTTGTTAAAGCTCTGTGCTGAACAGATCGAAAGCGCTCTGTACAAATCATGAAGGTACCACTCATGGTGGATGTAGAAGGCGTCCTGGCACGTGTGCCCCGCATCATCGGTCAATCAAGAGTTGCCAGACGATGGTACAAGAACCAGTATCCGCATCGCATGATGGAAGACGGTAGCTCTCCGGTTGTGCTCTCGGCCATTCTCCCGTCATCTGTGGTAGTGAAGCTTCGTCAGGCCGCCTGACATGAGGAGGGCCCTATAATGGCCGGAGGTCGAAACGGGGCCCTGGTGGGTGATCACTGCATGAAGACGGTATGACTGAAGTGAGGTGGCCAATGCATCAGCGGGAAAATGACCGTCAGACTCGAAGCACGGTATGACACTGCAGGAGTAGGGAATCACTAGAGTGTCGTCCTTCATGGCATGGGGAGCAGTGCTCAACCGCATCAGGGCCAGAGCAAAAGCAAAAGCGATTCAGCTGAATCGCAAGCAAAATTGGCGCTTCAGTGAAGACCACGGCACCATTGGAGGCCTCGTTGTGCCATACTGTAATGAGTCGCTGGACTGTGGTGCGTGAAATCCCTTCGGAAGCCAGCTGAGAGATGGACGCAGGTATGAACAGCGGCCATGTCTCCCCGCAGTCAGTGACCTCGCATCTGGGGCTATGGGGGGCATCCCGAAGCAATCTTCTCTGCCAGCCTCCCGTAGTGAGATCCGGAATGAGGAACCGCCTAAAGATGGTCAAATACTCAGCGGCATCATGCTGGCGGTGAGGTTGATGCCAGCCCGCATGTGCAAGTGACCATGGAAGGTGGGTCCACAAGTCTGGGATGCGAACGAGCTGACTCATTCGCTGCATGACTGGTCGCATGGCAGTAGTCCATACATCCTGAGACAAGGGCAAGAAGGAGCACAGCCAATGGACAGCTTGCAGAATGGCATTGGCAGATGATTGCTATTGTTGCAAATGTAAGCAGCAAGGCGTGAGCAGAGCGCTCACGCTCGTTGCAGGAGCTTGCTCAAATCGTTGGCTAGAGGACTGCGGCTCACCCTTTCTGTGCGAAGAAATCCCCCGATCGGCTGCAAACTGCCGAGTTGGTGAGCAATCGGAGGCAGTCGTAGAGCTCCAGAGCTGCTGGCGTTCGGTTGCCGATCTGTAGGAGGAATGGGAGGGTAGGGCCCTGGATCTTGCCCGTGAGTTTCTGCGTGGAGTGGAAACGGAGCACTGCCAGGGAGTGCAGGGAGGCCTTCTGGATTTTGGCACTGATTTCCATCAGCCTCTCGAGGATGAGGGGCGTGGTATCCTGCTTGGGTTCCAGGCGACGTCCTTCCGAGTTGAAGACCA